ACAAAAAAAAAAAGAAAGAAAGAGGAAACAAGCAGCTGGGAACTCCAGGTGGCACGAACAGGTGGACAGTCTCCTCATATAGTCACAGGTGTAATGAACAACTATTTCCAGTCTTTATGTGTCTATGACCAGGAACAAAAGTCTACGGAGCAAGTGTCCTAATGGCATAGCTTAAAGTCACATGTCAGTTCCCTGGCTGGGAGAGATAGAGAACTTTGACAAGCAGTTCTTGTCAAAGAAGATCTTTTCTAGCAGAGAGAATAACAAAGCCAGATCAGGTGCTTTTCTAGAAGAAAGGGCAAATAGGTGCTTGTAGCAAAAATGATACGTGTTGAACAACCCAACCTGATATGCTCTGTTCTTTAACAGTAGAATTCAGTCCATTTACATTTAGTAAAATATAATACTTGCATTCAGTAGAATAGCTGATAAACTTCACTGTATACCTTCCACACTACCTGTCTTAATTTTAAGTGCTTTTTTTTTTAAAGCTTAATCTTTATCAAAATGAGGCATGCATGGGTTTGTAATCACGCTCTTGTCCCTCCTAATTCCGCCTGCCCAAAGAGAGCTGCTTCCAGGTTGTTTAGCTGATTCTTTTCGCATTTGTCTTCCCATCAGTATGTCTTGACTTTCAGCATTAAGCATTCCCACCATGGCAGATGACGACTCAAGTGTCTGAACCACTCACCTTGTCACTCCTTTCTCCCCACGTGGCCCTATCAGTAATTCTGGCTACACTGATATTCTCTACATTATTATAAGAACACCGCTTAAGCCATGTAGTAAACTATGACCAGCTTTCCTTCCTTAACATTCTTCCTACCTTCAGAATTAGCGATTAATTCTTCTTCATTTACTTAGTTTTCTATGTACTTATCATTAATTTGAGGCCAAACCTTCCTCCCAAATGTCTTTATTTTCTCTTGGTTTTTATATTCCGCAGTTGTACTATGAATTTCATTTTCTTGAAGAAACCTCTCCCGGAGTCTTTGGGACCGCCCCACTCTGGGCTGGCTGATCTCCATGCCTCATGCACATTGTCACCCTGGGACCACCTTTACCCTGTCTGCCCTGTCTCCTACTGTGCAGCTCTTACTTCCTACTCAGCCCATGTCTTTTCTTTCTTCATTTACTCCCTTGTTTAGGTGGTGCATATCCTCCAGCGGCTTACTAAGAAAAGGTGAATGGAGTTAAGCTCTTTGACACTATACAAGTCTGAAAATTTTACCTTTGGTCTTAAAAAAAAAATCAAGGTCAAAACTAATTCTCCTGAAGAATTCTGAAGTCACTGCTCTGTTACCTGCCAGTTTCTGGTGTTGCTTTAGAGAAGTGTCAAACAATTCTCCGGTCTGTCCCTTTACAGTGAGCTGCTTCTCATTCCCCTTTTTAACTAGGTAGGACCTTTGTCCCCAGTGCTCATGCTGTGAGTTCATCTTCACGTAATGAGTTAGGTAATCTCCAAATTCACGTCCTGCAGATCTAAGATGTTTTCCCAATTTTCTTGTCTCCTCCACCACGTTCTCTCTCCCCTCACTATCTGGAGTTCCTATTTGTTGATGTTGGATCTCCTGAACTGGTTCTCTAAAATTCTCAACTCTTCTCTATTTTCCCTATTTTTGTCATTTTTGACCTATTTGGGGGAAGAGTTCTTCTTTATCTTCCAATCTTTTAGAAATATTATTATTTCTAAATTTCAAGAATCTGTTTCGGTTCACTAGATATGCCATTTTAACGGAGGGCTGGCCTTTCTCATGAATGCAATCTCT